CTTTACGCTTTCCTATCCCTGAACCGGATTTTCCCCTGTACATACAGCTACATTTCCAGGTTGCAAGGATAGTCTGTTCCCAACACTATTAATATTTCCTTCTTAAATTATCCAACGGGCATAAAAGCCCAAGATTGATTCTAAACTAGAAAACGGTTCGATTCCTAATACAAGCTTCAGGAATTTTAGTTTTAACCACAATCTCTATAACGCTTTATATGCTAAGTTACTGACTGCATAGAGACTTTTGTATGAATCAAAATAACATCACATTAAACAAAAGATATAGAATAGTTTCAGTTTGAAATATTGTAATGTGTCTTACAGACACGATAAATAACTTTTAAATATTCTTAACTGAATGGTAGCAAGCTGTACCATGAAGTCAATCTGCTCGTAACTCCACTGTCTAATTTGTATTTCTTACTGTGCATCCTAATTTCCTGACTATGTGATATTTTCGAAGCATTTACAAACCGTCTTGACGTTATATTACAATTTTTACCTGCATTCTGGAGACACGGGCGTTCGTGTTAGGGTACACATGTTAGTTTCTTTGTACTTATTTCTCGACTAACTTCCTTGCTAGTTTCTCATTTCTTCTGCATTCAGTTACACAGTTATCAGACAATATTGCAACATTGCACTTTTCTATTATCTGCATAAGGTATCTGTGACTCCTGGGTTGGCCTTTGACCAGCAGACTTGCCTGCTGAGAGCATCCAGACAGAGTGAAAACACAGAGTTCAGATCACATGTCATTTGCCCCAGACGCTGTTTCCTACATAATTATGCTGACTTGTCTCTTATGATCTGTAGTCCATCTTTCAGGCTACCAGAATAACTGACGAAGAGAACTCGATAAAGAATCCTAACGTCGGCAGTAGAGTGATGACAGGACATCCAGTGCCGAGGTCTGAGTGAGTATATGTGGAGCTTGGCTCCTTGGAATCATGGTGATGCCGTACTTATGGGCAGAGTAATATGCATATCAATATTTTTAATACGCTTTTGGATCCATCTTAAGTTCGTCTTCCCGTCACATCACGATGTGTCTTCTGGTTGGGAATGAAAGAGCTGAAAACCTTGTAGGCCCATATGAATAACACATCACGAAGCAAAGCCTGAAGTACAGCTGACAGCCATTAATCAAAATTAAGTTAGGGCGATAAAATCAATAGACATCAGATGAGCTGAGTATGTAGAACGTATGAGGAGATATTAAATGCGTATAAATTTTAGTCCGAAACGTTAAGGGAAGAAATAACTCGGAAGACCTAGCCAGACGATTTTAACCTATTTCAGTGTACTATCCCGGCAATCGCCCTTAATTATGCCCAGCATACTGTTCTGTATTAGAATGCGTACTGAAAGAGGAATTCTCGGCAATGTTGTATCTGAAACGAAGTTCCTTTCCTACCTTTGCAACACCTCGGTTTGAAACAAGTATGCACACAGTAGCAACCATTGGTTTACCCCTTGTCATACCCAGCCGACTGTAAAGTCTTGACAGCAAGCAGGCATGAACCAAGCCTCCGTCAGGAACTGGCAATCCACGTCACCAACCCTTTTCAAAAAATATTACAAACCGGTTGTCAAAATTGAAATCGCATTTTCAAAGGCGGTGTTACCAGAAAGTGGAAACTTATTACGGGTTGCTTAGATGTACTTTGAACTCGCAGACTGGGCAAGGAACGTCCTGACATTGTCGACATTCCTGGGTCAAAGTTTAGAATGTGCTAGTTCATGGGTATTGGAACGGAGCGTACAGTTATCACACACGTATGACCTTTCATGCTTCAAATAGCTTGCAATAAAGACGTTACTTCTGGCCAAAAATGACTGTAGGGATATGCAATCCAGTTTACGTAGGTTCGACTGTTGTCATTACTGATAACGCGAACACAAGTTTTAAAATCATTCTTACTCTTTCTGTACAAGTGTTTAATTGTTAAAAGGATGTTGAAAGGATATAACAGTTCCAAAAAGATGGGTTTTCACTTTACGTTGATATAATACAAACATCTACAAGTACTCGTAAAGCAAAATGTTTGAAAACGTATCTTAGCCAACTGTCAATTGGAGATTTATAAATCGTGAACTGGAAATATGTTTAGGCCGTGTGAGTTATCAGATGCAATTTAGCTCATGGGCTAGCCTGCTCATATTACAGATAAAAATAACTTATATAATTAGCTTAGCATTAGTACAATTAGTAATAATAAAATTTATTTTCTTCTTGTAAAGAACTCATTACATAAGGCAGGTTATATCAAAACGTTAAATTTCTTGTACGCAATATCAAAGGTGAGATTTAAGATTCTTACGGCGATGAGTACGAGGATATCTGTCTTCTGGGGTGTTGCGCCGAGTAGTCCGGTAGAAGCTTAACGACGTTTCAGAGGTGTTTACTCTCGTAAACGCCGATAAACTTCTACCAGACCATACGGCACAACATCACAGACTACAATCATGTTCATACTAGGCTCCGTGAAAACCTGAATCTAAAAAAGGCAGGCAGGTGTTAAAAGTTTTGGGAAAAAAGTCAGAATAGAAGGTAAAGAAAATTAAATTAATCTATAGATTACATTTTTAAAGTAGAGAAACCATTGCGTATAATATATAATACATAAAGAATAACATTCGCTCAGTATGAATTCCCATTCTGTTGATACAAGCCATCAATTGTCATAGCATGTGTCTAATGATAGGGAAACCTGACGTTATACGCACTGTAAATATGCACAGTGAACTGGGTGTTCGGTTACACTATTCATCGCTATTTACAGCACGAACTCATCCTTTCATTGCCTACACAGGGAAATAAATTAGGCTAATCTACATAAAGAAAACCAATAAAATACAATTTAATGTGCAAAGACGGCTGCTGTCTCACTGTTTCAATACTCTCTTCTAGGGGTCAATGACCTACATGTAGACCTACAAAACAGATAATTAGGTATTTCTCTGCAACGCCAGCTGTGGGATTTCCGACTGATTACGTCTGCTAAATGTGTATTCAGTGTATATTTATATCTGAAAGGTATTTATCTACGAACTATAAGACGTCAAATAGCATAATTTTTGTGTGGTAAATTACGTTCCTCAATACTCCTAAAATTATGCAGAAAATGGAGACCAGCACGACCAACTGGAAGTCAGACGTCTACAAAAGCAGTCAGCACATACTTTTAAAAATGTGCGTGCGAGCTCGCAGCTCATTAACACATTTTCGCACATAATACGGTCAGCGGTATCAATTAAAGAAAAGTTTAGCATGAACCGAAGAATTGGAAACGTGCATAAACTTTATTCTTTAAACCTCAACGTAACAGATCACTAGCAAGATTTAGGCGTATTTATTTGTTTATGGTTTATTTAACGTCGTTCTGAATAGCTGATGATTATATGAAGATTCATGAGAAATAAGTTAGAACGTATTTAGTAGGTGATCGCGACTTGATTTAATATTATCTGGTACGTGCTGGAGTGGTTGAGAAAAACTACAAGAGAAAACAAACAGGACAGCTATTCTTTGGGCTAAAATTTAAACCCTGGACCAAATTAACATAAAAAGGAGGTACAAACCATTGGACCGCGAGGCTTTCTACCTACTGTTAGAAGAGAATGCAACATTAATATGAATCTTGATGCTGTGGACGGGGATCAATTAATTCAGAAGAGAATTAAGTGAAGGATAAACATGGTAGCATGTCTTTGTAAAGGCATGTAATTTCCTTACCATCTAAATTACTGAAAGACGCTACATTGTGACAGGAGAATTCTTAATTAATTAGTTATCAGACACAGTGAAAGAAAAGCTCTTTGCCATCCCACAGAGTGGTTTGTGTCGTATTTGAGAATCGTATTAATCGGTAAAAGTTTACATAAGTGACGGTCAAAAAATAGTCATTTTACTGATGTGAGATTCAAGAAGTTGACTTTAGCAAGCCAGAATATTTAAGAAACGCAATTAATTATGATAAATATTTTCTCTCTGTCTAAGTGGCAACGTAAACCTCGTTAATTTACATTTATATTCTTAGGGCACATAACCTTATATTTCACTCACTTTACATAAATTTTGCTTTACCAGTAACCCCATCTTCTGACAACAGCACTCCACATACCGGGACACTGATGCACAATCTGCCCATAAGAACTTTGAAGTTTCCGTACAGAAACGGAACCAACTCATCTTCTGCTATTTCCCATCAGCCATCATCGAAGCAGTTAGCGCCGGCTTCTTACCGCGGAGGTCCAAGCTCACGCTAAGATCAGTCCATATAGGATATGTGGTGGGATGGGTGTTTTTGTTATCCGAGTTCTTCGGATGTCCCCTGTCAATTTCATTCCACCGGTGCTCCATATACATTAATGAACCATATGAAGGATTGACAAAGGGTCTGTTAGCGGCCCATTTCCACATAGACAATCTCACCCCATCGCAAAAATAAAAGACAGAAGATAAAGTCATCTAAATTATTTATAGACGCTTGATTGGAATCTTATGACGAGGAAACCGGAATAAAACAAATTAGATGAACATAGAAGGACTTGAACCAACGAACAGAGTACAATATGAACGAAGTATTTACGTCTCTGAAACACTGGTATCTACCTACAAGTCCACACGACGTTAAAATCCAGAACAACATAGACAATCAAGACAAGAAACTTCTGAATATGTAGGACCAGTAGCGTCTTATGTTACTACTTCATGTTAAATCCAGTTTCGTACGAAGAAATCCTTATGTATTATGATTCTGTTGCGTATTATTGTTCAAACTAATCAAACACACAGTAGCTACTGACTTGACCAATTCACACATGGAATGTCAGCATTGTTGACAGAGTAATACCAAAGTCTGGGAGCAGTTTTCTTCAATTATCACATGAAAATGAATTGTTCAAACTTATGGTGGATACATACACATGGTAGCATCATACATATGTACTTAATGTTAGTGTCACCAAAAACAATAATAATATTGTCCTACCTTATTGTCTGGTGGAGAACTTACAGCTCTGTACGGTAAACATTTGTAGCTAGTAGCGTTGACACGTGTAGTACCAACTGAAACAAACATACCATATCCAATTCATTAGTGGATGTAAAATACGCGTTGGTAGAGCTTCTGTCCGAACCAACAGAATAACCGTGGACCGACCGCACCCAAACTTCAATGTTTACAAAGATGTTCATAAACAGATTTCTGGGAACACTTCTTTTAAATCAGAATATTTCCTTTTGGTTGACATAAATATTTTATTCTGTGTTGACTACACCATGAATTTTAAAAGATAAGTATTTCTCATACTGTGGTGCACGTACCACGAACGTCAGAAACATTTACATAATAGAAACAAAGAAGGGAGACATTAATATATTTTTGTACGGACTGTAAGTTATAAACAAACATTTGTGCAAAATTTTTATTATTATTACATAACAGTATTGTTTTGTTGCATTTATAATATATATATTAATTCAATAATGATACAGCATAAAACATAACCCTTCATTAATTTGTTCTTTATTTTTGAGACAATCTGATATTTAAGCTACTTTAACATAACCAGTGAACATTTCTGAAACCATTACCTTATTGGGAAGAATTTAATAGATTGTATTCCATTGTCGACCAATGCACAAAATGTAAATGCGTGGCCGATTACAATCCCCGGCTACTTTTCTCTTTATTAATTAACTCCAGATATGTTATGGGCATTGTGGCGAAATGAAAATTACCAGCGTTCGACTGAGAATGGAGCCCCTGTTGTATAGTCCACAGAAAATAATTTTAATCACTTTACTACCGCTGCTTTGTACTATATACTCACTTTCTATGCTCAGGTATTTCACTGCAGGCTCATCAAGTGAAAATTTATCATAACTCCGCTTAATGAATTTTATTCCTATCTTCATACTCACAGATTCATCACCGCCACAACAAAAGTACCGCCATAAGACCCTACCTTGCCCGATTTTCGTTCTAAAGAGTGAAATATTTCACTAAAATAAATTCACATGTCGTCTTCTTTGTCCAAGCCGTAAAGTATTTCACATTTTGCCAACGGGAGATGTCGCTTCTGTACAAGCAGGAGTCAGGAGTCAGAACCTTGTCGAGAGTTCAAACTAGGGACTCAAATCATTTTTCTAGGTTTTATGCGTCTTAGCATAAAACAACCAGTTTCTTTCAAATCCCTTGCAGCTAACCATATTTCCATCTATACCAAAAACCACGACTGATTTGAACTTCTGATTCGTATTCAAGAAACTCAGGATTATGCACGCTTGGATGCTGTTCTGGTAATCTTCAATGTTTTCCTCAATCCGTCGAGGTAAATGCTCAGATAGTAATTCACATCATTTTAATCGTAATACTTTCCAATTAGTGAGATTTCAGGTTCTCACAGCCGCTAGTATGAAGACGAGTGTCTTCTGGGTTGTTGCAAATGTTTGCCAACCTTTCAGAGGTGATTGCTACCTCAGGATCAGGGCAATATCATCGCATTTATATGGAGACAGGGGCACTTCTGAAACGTCGGAATACTTCTACCAGACTATACGGCGTAACAACTCAGAAGATAGCCATCTTCATAATTCACATTTGGTGGAATATTCGCAGTTGAAAACCTCTTCCCAATAAACCGCAGTGAAACGTTAAGTCATTATTCATGTTTTCACATAATCCCATTAAACACTGCATTAAATTATGCCACAGGTACCGATCGGTAGGATTTCTTCAGCCAAGTCATCGGAAGAAAGAATTTGAAGTTAAAGCATAACAAAAGAAGGGGTGAGACTATCCATTGTAATGTTGATGTCAGGACGGAATTAGACAAGCAGAACATTTGAAGAACAAGATAGTGTTTTCAGCTTGGTATTCACAATCGTTTCTCATTAGAATTTCTGAGAAACAGAAGGTCAATAATCCCAAGAAACTGAGATCATAAGATAAACAAATCTTTTACTTATTCCTTAAACAAACATAACTATGCAGTTTTTCATGCAGCGTGTTTAAGACTGGTTTAGACTATCAAATATTTTATTCGACAACAACATAAATTACAAACAGCCAAATTTACAAGAGCGTCCAATAACATTAATTCTGACATAACAGGAATAGTTTTCAAGCGAAATAAATACTTATTATTGTTTGTAATTTATATAAAAACTAACATTTTTTACTGACAGGTATGTGTGTAAAATTACCATAAAGTGTTACATTTTTATTATAATTTTGCAACATGTAATAAACAATCATAAACAAAATATTTCCTTGTCATAAGTAAAATGTTACTTCCTCATAAGACCTTTGAAGAAGAAATGTCACAAGTGAATTGTTACCTCTTATCAAGGAATAAATTTACTACCGTATCTGTTGCGTGAGATTCCATTTCAGAACAACGGTATGGCTATTCGGTTTTCGCCTACTGCGCGGTCTGAAGGGTCTGAATCGATAACCGGTAGGAGCAGAAAGTTTTTCTTCTCTACAAAGTGAAGACTTGACATAAAGCCCTACAGAAATTCACCCAATTGGCACAGGAGCCTCTTTCACACAGGCCAACAATTTCGATTCAAATGTTTATGTTGAACTATAACGTCACAGAACTAGTTATTAATGTCGCCCAATACACTCTTTATGTAACCCTTGCAGGATAATATTCCTTAATATTGTCTCCAAAGTATGCACACTCTTTGAAGTCATTACATTCTTTCCACAAAGTAAAAGATAATTTTTCAGAAAAAAAAACAGTGTTTGTAACGAATGCAGTAAAATAATCATTTAGTGTTGTTGAAAGTGAAGAAACTTTGTGTTGAAAGAATTCCTCATTTGCTCTTATGCTGGACCTTGCGTATTTATTACTATCTTTCTAAGAGTTTTAGAATTTAAACATTTTCAAAAACCATTTGGTAGCTGTCGCTCTGGGAATACATTTAAATGAAATTTTCTAATACCTGGACCTTAGACCTTACTCGGATGAATCTTTTAATAATTGATGTATCATAAATATGAGTCTAACAGGGCCTATGGAGAATGCACAGCAAGTCCCTTAGTAGCTCTATACGTTTTTTTATATTTCCTGCACCTACAAATGTGTACGAAATCGAGCGGTGCCCACTTCTGATTGGGTTTTATGATTAACTTGAAATCTGAAAAAAAAAGTAAATCAAAATGTAGATATCATGTCCAAATTACCTATCAATAATATTTTATGACCTTTGACATATTTACAAAGTACTTTCAGTCATTCCGCCTAACTGACAGCTATCTAAGAGAGCAAACTCATCGATCCGAGGTTATTTCGAATGGAACCGCACCCTCAATCCGTCAACTCATGGAACCAGAAAGGTGACCAGACAACAGAACAGAAATGGCTGCAAAACTCTGGACTGGACACTGATAATCTGACGTTCAACTTTCTATAAACAACACGTACATATTTGTCAGAAATCATTGGAGTCGTGTCACAAGGAGAGACAGACGACACAGGGGACTTCCCTGCCATCGTCGTTTCTGATGTGTGGGTGTTGGCGCTCTGATGCCGGACGTCCGTCGGGTTGGACCAGTGAACTTCCGGTCGACCTTCGCTTCTAATCACGAGGCCAGTTCTAGTGCCTCTCCCCCAGGATATTGCTCATGGTATGCTATTTACTTGTGGTGCGGTTTGTTGCAACGTGTGACCAGAACAGCCTCAAAATCTGCCATGACCTAAGCGTTCACACGTCTTTATATAGGGAATACGAAAGACAGGAGGATCGAACCTCATACTTAACAAGACCGTAAAATTTTAAAAATTCATTAAGATATTAGAACAATACATTTTACACCACGTCTAATTTTCTTATTGGAAAATCAGTATTAAGTACAGTTTCATCATCTGTGTGAGCCGTTATTGTGTCTCTCGTACTAAACAACTATTTCACCATTGGGCAGATCTTCATCAAACTTGGTATCAGCAGCACATCAATACAGGTCGGCTGCTGCGCCAAATACCTGGTGCTTGTCCGACAAAATCATCTCTCATCATCTTTATATAGAATTCGAGTAGTAAATTATTAAATGAAAATGTATCAACTGAAAAGGTTTTATCTTATAAATACACAAAAATTCCAAACGACAGGTGAATAGCTGTGGGATTAAACACGGATTAAAAGAAGAGAAGATAAACAGAGAAGTGTAAAATACGGATATAATTGGGGAAATCCTCATAAAATGCGACGATTTACAAAGGATATGGGAACAAGCTGTCGTGAACATTTTACAAGAACAGAATTTGTTTGGATGCACAAAAGAAAAACACGAGAAAACTCAAACAAGGCAGTTGGCCCTGGGCTAACAACGAGGCCGTGAAATTCAGACTGCGGCACTAAATTCGTCAGATAACTCGTGGGTTTTCCTCAGTTATTTCGATTGAATGTTTGTTCTTTGGTTCGGTAGAATACAGCTACAAGATAGTCACACGGGTTATTCCACGTGATCATCTAAACTACTGACTTACCGACTAAAAATATTGGACAAATACACGAATAAACACCATACATCTAAGCCTATTAGTTTATTTAAGTACGCTTTATTAACTGCTTAAACCACCTTGGTACTTTCGCAAGAAAACCCCGAAAGGGATCACGACGGTCAAGCTGACTATTGACGATAAAAGAATTAATTTCTTAGGTTTTACAATTCTAAACGATATTACGAACGCTGGATTTGAAAAAAAACGTGAAAAAGATTGTGACCTGATTTGAGGTACAATCTTAGAATCTGCGAGGAAGAAATGAAAGAATAGAAAATCTTAGTAGCGTTAGGTTGTCTCCGGATCAAGAATCGAACCGAGGTGGTCTAGAACAGAGACAAGTCTCACTACTGTTTTCGGTATAATTAGAACAAAAGAAATACGATGTTCGCACGTCATGACGTAGCGGACCATCCAGTGTTCTGTGCACTGGTAGCAACAAAGATCTGATTGAAATCGCGTTTATGAAACAAATCTCCCAAGACAACGGTGTAAGAATATTCAAACCACTCCCATGTTTAAATAAATACTATATTTTAACGTTTCTCTGAT